CCCCTCACTACAAGAAGGACGTCGAGGTGCTGGAGCGTGTCCAGAGAAGGGCAACGAGGCTGGTGAGGGGTCTGGAGAACGTGTCTTATGAGGAGCGGCTGAGGGAACTGGGGTTGTTTAGCCTGGAGAAAAGGAGGCTGAGGGGAGACCTCATTGCTCTCTACAACTACCTGAAAGGAGGTTGTAGCGAGGTGGGTGTCGGTCTCTTCTCCCAAGTAACTGGCGAAAGGACGAGAGGAAATGGCCTCAAGTTGCGCCAGGGGAGGTTTAGATTGGACGTGAGGAAAAATGTCTTTACTGAAAGAGTGGTTAAACATTGGAACAGGCTGCCCAGGGAAGTGGTTGAGTCACCATCCCTGGAAGTATTTAAAAGACGTGTAGACGAGGCGCTTAGGGACATGGTTTAGTGGGCATGGTGGTGTTGCATCAACGGTTGGACTCGATGATCTTAGAGGTCTTTTCCAACCTTAATGATTCTATGATTCAATTCTATTTCAACTTTCACCTGAGCAGAATTTTGCACACCAAGATCACTCTACACTGAACTGCAGCATGCCCAGGAGCTCTGCTTCAGAAGTGCACTTACAATCTGAAATGGACTCTATATGCTTTTTTTTTTTTTAATGCCTTCATCTTGTTTCCTTGTAGCCAAAACTTCAGTCCCTCCTCTTCCCTTTTGTAGTACAGGTAACTGGTGTTTCTATTTACCATGGCAACACCTTCACTCAGCAGTGCTTGCCTACAAACAACCAGCCAAAACAAAATGCATACCTCCTAAAGGCATTTAGAGGTTCTGCAGCCAAGAAAAGACAAGCTGTCTTTCCATTGCTGAAAACAACTCTATCAGAGCATGAAGTTTAAAGACAAACCACCTCTAAGGAACGCTGATTCTTAATACTAGTAGATTTTACTTTCCTTCCTTTCTACCATCCCATTCTACCTTTTTTTTTTCTTCTTCATTCCCCACTCCCTGCTTTTTGCTCGAGGAAGACCTTTGTTTATTAAGGAAAGGAGCAGGTATAGATTTGATATAGCTGTTCTGTGTTCTGCAGTGATTCATCAGGGAATTCAGTTGATTTTCTTTTAGGTTCAAATCTCTAGAGAAGCCAGCTCTGGGGGAAGGAAAAAGCAAGTGTCTTTTTCACACAGCAATTAGCTCTATTAAACTCTCTCTTGCTTTTCCCTGAGGGAAGAATTGCTCTTTTTATGTAAAATTTTGAGCTTTGCATCCTTTCCATCATCTAACAGCAAGTCTAGACTTGCAATGCCACACTAGCCTAGCTGAGGCTCTAGTATGATGGAAAGTAGGGGTAACTGCATACTGAAGTGGAACCCTGCCCTCCTATTTAAAGGAAAACAATGAAATTAATATAAGAAATAGCCACCTACTTTAGTTCAGGCAGTTTTTGCACCAAAACAGAAACAGAGTCTATCATAAAAGCAAACAATACTGGCCATGGTAAATGGACATCTCGGGCAGCCTGTTCAACCACCAAATAAACTGAAATTTTGCGTTCTACTCATCTGCCCTCGCTTTGGCCTCTAATCCGAAGAGACTCTCCTTTGCAGAGCAAAGCCACTGACTGCGTCAGGTGTCTCAGTTCTTAATGAGGAAGGGGCTAGATTACCATATACAACAGGCTGTGCAAAAGACTAGCCTTGGTATTCTCATGCCTGATAACTTTGAGGTGATTACCAATAGTAAAAGAAATCAATGATGAAAGAGTTCTTTCCTCCTCAACAGTATTAACCTAGAGGCTTCTGATTTTAATCCGGATCTCTTAAGAGTTGAGCAAATACAAGCTCATGCTAGAGTTTAAGCATCTCCCATATAGTTAGTTTTTCAAAAGCAAAGTAGTGACCAGGAAGAGAAAAGAGAACTTCCCATGCTAGGAAGCCAGCAATTTGCAGATTATTTAGTTTTTACAATTGAGTTGCCTAGCTACGGCATTAGAGAATGATTCTAGAGCTGTCTTGAGAGCGTTGATTGAAATAAGAACATCATTAAAGACAAATTATGAAATAAGAGTCAGTATTTCCCTCTGAACACTTCCTCTCTGGATCAGGAATGGAAGAGACTAACAGTAATTAAGTTGCAGCCACGGGGGTTGTTTCATAGAGATGGAAAGAAAATACATTTAACAAATTGTATTTTGGTATACAATTCTTACATGATTTGGACAGCCAAAATCAGGCAGTCTAATTCCTGATGGAGTACATATGAGTTGTTTCCAATTTAAGTAAAAGGAAGCTATATTATCAACATTCATATTAATATCTGCCTTATGTGAATCATATCTTTATTAGTCATGGTAGCTCATTATTCAGCATGTATACACAACTATACTGCAGACCAAATGGATCAATTCGTAATGGATAGCTACTTTTCCATTCGTAATGGAAAGCTCTAGATCAGAGCTTTTTAAAGCAAGTAGAGAAGACTGGATGTTATTTTAGGGCCAATCTCTGTATAATGGGAAAAAAAGTTGCAGAGAATTCAACTTCATTGTACCTATAGCTATCCTTACCTCAAATCTTTGTTCACTGGGTATAACAGTGCTTCAAGCCTGCTGTAGCTTTCTCTAGTGCTCAAACAATAGCCTGAAATAATTTTTGCACCATTTCAATGCAAGCATGCCTATAGTACTCCTGTTTTCACTTCAGATCTATATTGTGGAAGCAGTTCATATGGCAGAAGTGGCACCCAAGAGACCAGTTTCAGACCAATTTACACTTGAATTGCTGTGTGTGGTTTATTGTTCAGATGGTGCCGTTACCCATTCAATTCCATCTTTGTAACATGCCACAGACATGAAAAATCTAAACCACTGTAGTCTGCCACTGTGAGAAAAGGCTTAATTGCCATGAAGAGCAAACCGAGTTCAGAGATTGAGGCGTTTCCTCTTCCGAAAGAGAAGGCATCTCTACTGTATTAGAAAGTGACCTGTACAAAGTTACTACTTTCTGAGGCGTGGCATGGAAAAGTAGGCATTCTCTCTACTCAGTTCACAAATAAGAGATCTCTTTGAGCTGAAGAAGCACTGTGATTGGTATCTGAGTACTGCTAGTTGAAGAGCCTACCACAGAGTGCTGGGCTTCAACATCCAAGCAGATCTCTGTAGGGAAGTTTCACTTGTTGATAAAATAAACAAAGTACTTTCTGAGCACTGCAGCAGGTGGCATCCCAGGATTCAGCCTCAAGTTTATACAGATCGCAGTTGCACTAGATTTCCTGTCCTCAACTGAATCGCTCATCAGAACCCCAAACCAGTTTCAGTATATATTTCTTCTTCCCTCTGGTTCCTTTTTTTCTCCCCAGTCTCACCTGGGGGAAAAGATTAGTAACTTTTAAGTCACATTGCTTTAAGGAAGCATGGGAAAGATGAACAGCATAGTTACATGCACTTTCAGAGTCTTAGAAGCCTTTATAGCCTCAGGTTATGACAAGCACAGTAAGTAACACAACAGTTACCTTAAAACGTCAAGGACTTTGAGCCTAGACTAGAAACAGAATTGGGTCAGTTGTTTTTACTGGTCAAAGCTAGGGATGCCTCACAGAAAGGGGTGGGCCTTTCCTGACCAGCAAATCTACTGGTTGCTTTAATTTTGGGATATCTGACCAAGAGCATTAAATACAGAGAGGAACAGCCACTAGCTGTAAGAATCTGGCACAGACAAGGAGAATTGGCATAGGAAAGCTACATGTACTCCTCCTCCATGTTACATCCTTGTTAGCACTGCATTGCCTTTTGGACTGGTACAGCAGACTACTACAGGGAGAAACTGTCAGCAGAGGCAGCATACACTGATGGAAGACATGTTTCTAAAGATAGAGACAGTACTCATCTTGCCTAAATAGTTTTCTAAAGCAGCAGTTTAGCCCTGGAAAATGATATCTGATGCCTTATTTCATGTGATAGGCTAAGCTGGAAGAATGAATTTATGCTGAAGACTGGCACACATTGCTCCTCTACTCAACTTCCCTTTTCTTGTAGTAAGGCAACATCTGGTCTGGCACTATCTTATTGCCTCACTGCTCAGCCACAGCAGCATAGGAAACAAGTTAGCTTTCTGCAGCAGTTGTGTTCTAGCTGCAGCTATCTATAACCAGGCAGCAGTAAACATTGCAGCTGAGGGTCTGGTTGCAGCAGAGAAACAAGTCACCCACACAGGCTTTGGTCTGATTGTGCAGTTACAATTTATTGCATCCTATATCCTTAGGAATGACAGCTAAATTTCTCCACTTAATCAGGCTCAAATGCGTAAGTGTAGAGGCTTTGTATCTGCCATTGCATTTGAGAACATGTGCAGCAACTGATCTAGTGCCTCCCATAAGCTGGAGGGGCATGTTTGCTTTAGACACATGCACTTTGTAAGCCAGTTAATGCCAGACTACTCATTTTCATTAAAGACAACCTGTACTGTGTGGTCCAGGGCTAGGAACAGGACATTCATGACTGTTTGCTGAACAGATGTTAAGCTCCAATTCATGTTGTGACAGCTTGAGTTGAGACAGGTTATAGCATCCTGAGTGGAAAATGAAGTGTTATTTTCCTGCACTTGTTTTTTTTAACTCTCCCCCCCCCACCCAAAACATGTAACTGCATGGAAGAGTTCCGTCTGATTGTAGATCAATCCACAAAAGGTAGCAATGGAGTTCATAGTTGGAGCAGGAAAACAGGATTTGCTTTTGACAGCGAGAAGTGCATACAGCAGCCTTGTAAAGGGTGAGGCTCTTGAGTGGTTTTTGCTTCATTCACAGTCCAAGGAAGATGAAAGTTCTGGCTTTGCCTAGACAGCTGATGCTTAGTCCTGCAAGATGTGAACACTGCCAGGTTGTCAGTTATGCTACAGCCATCTTCATCTGAAAGTAATTTTTCCCAGGATACCAGAAAAAATATATTTAAGTTCTCCTTGCTCCCCTCCACTCATGCGTGTGTTCTCCATAGGTCACGTAGTGTCACAGATTTGTTTGGATATTCCATGCAGTTTAATTTAAATTAGCCACTTATTCCTGCATACTTGAATAGAGGGCTTCAATCTGGTTCTGGAAGAGTTTAACAAGCTCTGCTCGCTTTGCCTTCAGTGTTGGTGTCAACAGTCCATTTTCTACAGAGAACATCTCTGTGTGGATGTACAGATCTTTAACCTATTAAAAGAAAATAATTTAGCACATGACACTTACATAATCCCTTAGAGGACAAACAACAGTTCTTCCCAGCTTCCTTGAGCTCAGTGCAAGAACTCACTTAGCCTCAGGAGCTCCAGTAACTAAACTGTTTTTTGATGCAAGTCAAATTCCTTTTGGCTGACACAGCAAGAGGATAGGCTGGAACTACAGTACAGCTCCTGCAGCCCATGGTGAATCTCCACTCCACCTCATGGCAATTGCTGCTTTTGCCCTACACAGCCGCCTGTGTCTTGGTCAAGAGACAGGCAGCCAGTCAATGTTTCACTGCCTACTTCAATCAGTTGTCCTGGGCAGCTGTCTTAGGTCCCATCCTGGCACAGTCAGTAACAGGAATGCAGACTTCCCAGCCATCGCATTAGTAATACAGGTGCTTGTGACAAGGAGGATTTGGAAGTACTTACTTGTTCAAAGGATTTAAGACCAGCCTCTTTCCCCAGTCTGACCATATCTTCTAAAATAGCTTTCTTCACTGCCTAGACAAAACAGAGCAGGAACAGAGTGGGTGAAGCTGCTATTTTGTAATTGCAACTCAGGATCACACCCATTGCCCAGTCAATGAAAACTGAGGTTGACAAGAATACATGTACATATTTCAGCATTCAAGACTTCTCATATTAAGGCTACTACAAGATTGCATCTCTCTTCTCATTGGAAAAGAAGCGGTGATAGCCCTTGAAACATCAAGAGACACCTATACTTAGTTCCAGTTTTTACTTTAAGGCTGCTTGCATGATTCTCCCAGCATTAAGGCAATTAAATTTACAAAAGAGGTGGGTAAAAATGAAGTTAAAGCAATGCAAGATTGGACTTCAGAATTAAATTCTACCTATAACCCACTAAAAAGGTAAAGCCACTCACTGGATTTTTGCACACATCTTCATAGGAACCTTTTATTCCCAGTTTTGCTGCAAATGCTGGAAGTGTCTCAGGATCAGGAACCACTATACCTATTAGAAAAGACTGAAAACAAGTGGAAGTAGTCATGTTTAGACCAAGTTAAGGCATCTGAAATTGATTGTCTATGCAAACTTGATTGTGGACAGCATCTCTATACTAAGCCACATTACATCCCCATCTGTTTCCAGAATTTGGAAGGTAGCTACAAGGACATTCAAGTCACTTATCTGAGTTCTGACAGTAGTTCAGAGAGCAGTTTGTCCATTATGTGTGCTAAACACTCCAGCAATTACTTTTGGCTTGTTTACAGATTGAAGGCCTCTGCTAGTGTAGGTGACACCTCTGTGGCAAAGGAATGGAGAAACATACATGGCCTGACATACAAATCCCATACAAGTATGTAATTAACCTTCACCCATCTTGCAACTTCATTCCAGGATCTCCTCTTCTTTGGTGTCAAGAGGGAAGGCTATAGACAGCCCAAAAAGTCTGAAAGGATATTCCTATAAACATGGCACTCTTGGGAACAGATCTTCTTCAAGGACTCTTGTACATGCATACATTTGTGCTCTGATCTTCCAGAACTTATTGTGGGAGGAATCTTGCAGGATGCTCACTCCTAACATCACTTACCTTCAGGCTTTCCCCATGTACAAAGACCTGGGCTACAGGAGCACTTCTGATATAGACATTTTCTATCTTCTCTGGAGCAATGTATTCTCCTTGTGCAAGTTTAAATATATTCTTCTTCCTATCGATGATCTTCAGTGTTCCGTTCTAGAAGTTAAAGATAGAGGCCATTAGTTTCAAGTATCTCTCTTGCTTCTGTAAGAAGCAGAAGATAATGGGTTTGGTTTTGTGGTATGAAAGGCACATGCTAGTCTGGAACTGGTCTTTGCTTTCTACAGAGAGAAGGGGCATTTTGTCTAATTTTTCCAGTTAGCTCAGGACATGATTAGACAGCTCCTTTATTCTCCTCTGACAGAAACCAAGACACCTTGTTGTTCTTCATTGTGGAAGTGATGTAGTCTTAACTACTGGCCTAGCAGGGGTTATCTGAGATCTTGTAACCTAATTGGTCTTTGGAGTTTTGCCTGGAGTTACTTGGTGAGTGATAACAAAATATCATGTAAGGCTTTTACCCTAGAATTCACTTCTCCACCTTTTCAGATTACTGTAAACTAGCCAGGAATTCACATCCAAGGGATGGTTTGTATTAAGCAGTTACTCACTGGCAACCATTTTCCTATGTCTCCAGTGTGGAGCCAGCCATCTTTATCAATTGCTTCTGCTGTCTTCTCAGGGTCTTTCAGATAACCCTTGAACACATTTGATCCTTTAATGCAGACCTATAGCAAGCACAGAACATTGTTAGTCACCAAGTCTTACGTTTCAGTATTTCCTGACACCACAGAGGAGACGGTACCTACCTCGCCTTCATTGTTAGAAGAGAAGTAGTTCATTTCTTCCACATCATCTAGTTTTATGATATTACAAGCCAGAGGGGCTCCAACATGGCCTAAGAGGAAAAAAAAACAACCAAGGACAGTTATGTTTTGGGGATTCTGCTAAGCAGTTGGCCCTATTTGATCTAAAGCTAGAAAGACTAGGTCTTAAGTGATGGGAGACCTCAGGTGCCCCCTACATATGAAAGACTTCAGTGATAGTAGCTACTTAATGGCACTTTGTTCACTGCTTTAGCAAGAACCAGTACTGTTTAAAGGAGTCTGACACCAAATGTTCAAGAAAGTTACTGTAATGCCATTTTCAGACAGTTAATGCAGGATAAGCTAAGTCTCAATGCTTAGAGCCATTTATTGGCGTAATCAACCACACCAACCATGTATTACCCTTGCCTCCAAAGAATTCCCTCATAGAGCCTGGTTATTCATTTGCATGTCATCCTCATTATGCTCTGCAGTTACTGCATTCAAAGACGGCGACTTGACCTTGAATTTAGAATACCCAATATTAAAAACATCCTTGTTAAGATGAAAACTAGATCTTCAAGGTCAGATAGTCCTTCAGGAAAATAATCAAGTATCATGTTTTACACAAAGAATTATGACTAAAATATCAGACAAGTCATTTCGGAGCTAAAGCTAGTTTCTTAAAGCCTTGTCCAGTTTGCTCAGCTCTGTACAGACACTCCTTTCCTGTACACGGAGACAGGGTCTAAGCTGACCTATGTCAGCTTTATACAAGAGTATCTCTTTATACAAGAGATCCTCACTTACATGAGTCAAGAATTTGGTTACCTATTAAGCATACAGGTGACTGTTGCTACTAAGAATCACTTTGAGGTTAAGTACCCAGGATTTAACGTCCATTGAACTAAAAGCAGTAGAGCACCTAAGCTTGAGTGCCACTTTCTGTTGACAGCTGTGGGAGAGTTTCCAAGTGTCAGCTACCATACCTGTTGTCCAGTCTCCAGGCATTGAGAAAGTGCATCCAGCTGAGCATTCAGTCTGGCCATAACCTTCAAAGATCTGTGTGAGAAAGGATGAATATTCTTTGAACATCAAGACCTTGGTGTTAAAGAGCTCAGTTTCAACTATGCCCATGCTCAAGTCGTCTTTTTAGGAAGGAAGCCAAGACAATCTTAGCCTTTAAAACTTCTTGGTCTTATTGGTGTAACCAGATGTTCTTCAAGTTCACCTATTCAAACCTTGCTTTGATCACCTCATTCTCTGAACTCTGTTCTCAACTGTACTACATTGGGAACTCACTGACTCTCAGGATAAGCCACAAAGCTCAGAGGCAGCTGCTTGAGTTTGAGTGCTGCATGTTCCTATTTCTGCTGCTCTATTCCTCTTCCCACAGCCTACAGGAGAGTTTTTTGGTAGTGTAGTTTGAAGCCAGCCCTGCAGAATTGTGTTCCTGTTACAGTTAACTCAGATCAAGCAGCCTGTAAATACCGAAGACTGACAGCAATCTCCCCAGGAACAAACTGGGCTGGACCACAGCTGTATCATTGGTCACCTACTGGGCATAACCAAACACGTCTTACTTTAAGAAAAAACTCAGCTTACCTGACAGCCCAATGCTGCTCTAAGAAATGTCAGGACAGAAGGAGATATAGGGGCTGCACCAGTTACCATTATACGCACTCTTCCACCCATGGTTTCCTACAAGTGAAATAGAAGCCATCAGATCCTCCAATACTACATTGCTCAGCTTGCTTACACTTGGAATAACTTACGTGAACTTTTTTGAAGATTAGCTGGTCCCAAATGCTGTCATTTCGAATTATGCCCTGTTTTATTTCAGCCATCTTCACAATCACAGCAAAGTTTAACAGGCAACGTTTCACTGGGCTCTTTGCACCACTTTGTATCTGCAAGGAAAAGTATTAGTGACTTTTGAGTTTAATTCACATCTGTACCTCCAGTTCTTGCTTTGTTAGGAGGCACCATATCTTACTTCGATGTTCTAGGGTCTGTCTTCACTACTGTCATGGTCTAGGAGATGAACCAAGGGGCAATACTAATTTGTGTTACTGCTGACATACTTCAGCCATAGCTTTGAGGGATAGGGATCCTTCTAGCTTTGCACTTGCTTCATTTGCATTCCAAAAGTAAACAAAATTTTTGTCTCTGAACAGCAACAGACTTAGCCCGGTCATGACTGGATACGCTGTTCTTATACTCCAGGTCTCAGGACTCTTGCCATCTCCTCAGAAAGGATTTTAGAGAATTCTTCCTGCAAAGGACTAATTAACTAGTGGTAATGCAATGATGCATTCAATATTAAACTAAACTTGTATATGCTTGCTTAGATATATGGACACAAAGATAATTTAGCTAAAATTGCTCACATACCTTGTCATATATTCTATTGAGCAGTCTTGGTACAACTGGAAATAGTGTTGGCTTCAAGGTTTTCATGTCATCTGTTAGCAACTTGATGTCTCCTTGGAAGAAGCCTACTTTTGCTCCACAGCTGTAGGTCACAGTCTAAAAATTGACCAGACTAAGTTTAGTCAAGGATAATTCTTAGCTTCTTTAGCCATAATTATTTGTCTGTGGAAAGCAGCATGATTTCCAGTGCCCAGTGGTAGGAAAGTTCTTGTGTGAATAGGTTTTGAGGAAATACAGAAGGCTATCATACCTTTTACTACAATTTGATTTATAGAAGCTCAGATGCTAGATTAAGTTCTGGCATGCAACTTTGATTTGTAGTCCACGAGCACCACAAAACAAAAGTTTCACATTATGGTTGAATACAATTAATATAAGCTTCACCACATTTGTAACATGTGTTCTATTTTGATATCTTTTGAGATACCTAGAAATTTCAATACAAGGCAACAGAAGAATTTAACAATTTGACAAGGAATAGGACAATACGTGTTCTTTTTTAAATACTGGGTTGGGAATTGAGGTTAAGAGACTGATCTGGAGACCATTACATGTAGAAGAGTTAGATCCTGCCACAAAGTTGCTGATGTTCCCTGTAGGAAGCTTTACTTACACAACATGCTGGAGGAACTGCATTAATTGGAAGACTAGAACTTCAGCTTAGGAAACAGGCAGGATGACACAGCCCAGCGGAGTAAACAGTGGAGAACATACTACCCTCTACCTCTGAGTACTAAATCCACTGGTCTTAAACTGCTTCCTCTTCATGTATTAGCTTTCACTGTGTTTGACTAAGGTCTTGATGCTGTTAATTTCCCTTGCTGATTTCTTAGTAAATCACAGACTCAGTAAGGCTGAACTGAAGAACAAAGCTTCGTTTAATGAAAATAGTAGCCATATCTTGGAGAAGTAACCAGGCATTATTTAGTCAGTTCAGAGGTTTTTATTTTAGGTAAGTGGTCTTAACCATTTAGGTATGGCTTCTAACAAGTGTTAGATGTATGAACTAGTTCATACATCTAAGATCTTCTACAGAAGCTTAGTAGCATGCACAGTGTACTTACCTGTACAACTCTCTCAAACATGTGAGCCAAGGGAAGATAGGATATGGTGATATCTGAAGGTGTACACTCAATTATGTTCTAGAGGGGAAAGAAATAGAAGTAGGTTAGTACTCCCTATGGCTGCTTGAGTTGCTCTTAAGTGAATAAAGTTTGGATCAATTTGGATGCTTTGAAATAGACACTTCAAATGACTGAAGCAACTCAGGCTCATCTACCACCTTTTCAAAATTTGCAGCTGTAACTCAGATCTAGATTAATGTTACGTTTTGGCAAGACTTGAAATAGGGTAGTTTAGTACTCTTGGCATTTAGGGCTGACTCATTCTAGAATAACTTCTGTGTAGAAGTTCTTGTTCAAGGTTAAACCAAGTTTCTTGCAATACTATTGTCCCATTGAAATATGGGAACTTCGGAAAGCATGAGTTTGCTGGGAGTGAATGGTTTGCAAAAAATGCCCACATTAAAGCTAGTTTCATGACTGAGTGACATAGCCTAGAGATCACCATTAGCAGTAGCTTACCTCTGTGCTTCTAAGGAAGGCAGCAGCATTTGCGACAACATTTTGATGTGTCAGCATGGCTCCTTTAGGGTTACCTTTGGAGAGATCGAGCAAAGTCAGCTGTGGCTCTGACTGCTTCTGCTGTCAGTTTCCCCTGTCTTGTTTGGCTCAGTTTGTACTGTCTTGGTATTAGGCTCAGTCATAGCATGCATTGTCTTAAGAGATCACAAAAATGCCTCATCTTGAGTGCTTTCAGCTATGGATATTATATAAAGGAAGCGTCTACTGAAACAGCAGAGTAATTAGGAGTAGCATAGAGAATGCTGAAACAAGATGTTTCTCTAGCCCCTGTGGGTCAGAATACAGACACAGTTAAACAACCAATCTCTTTAATACTCTGTATTTTTCATAGGGTAAGACAACATGAATTTGGCTATTCTTCCCCCCAGCTCTAAGAAGCTTTGTCTTAGTGTACTTGACTTGTAGTTTTAGTGGGGAAGCATCACTATATATTCTCTTACCTGTGGTTCCACTGGTAAAACACACGATGCAAAGATCTTCAGGCTTAGGAGGCTAGAGGGAAAAAGCCACATAAGGTCAACAGAGTAAGGATTATGTTGCTTATCAGTATTTACATACACTTCCTAAAGTGGGATAAACCAGGAATTCTGTTTGGGAACAGCAAGACAAGATACAAAAAAATCCTGCCAGCCTCCTCTACTAGCAGCATGGCAAGAGGTCTTTTCAGAGACTAGTTTTGCAAGTTTATAACTGTTCCACAGAGATACTTACAACTGGTTCTCTGATGTTGTTTCTTCCCAGCTCCTGTGTTAGAGAGAAAACACAGCTTAACAATTGCAACAGAAAGACATGCAACAACAGTAGATGAATAGGTAATTGCATTTCAAATGCAACATTTGTTTTTACTTTGCTTCTTGATACTCTGTCTCATTCAGAGGGAGATGTTGGTCTTCCTGAATTTAATGCACACAACTTGGAAAAGCCGACTCCTGGCATTGTGGAAAGCATGAATTTGAGTGTGTAGAGAGTGATCAGAACTATTTAAGGAATTTGGAAGTCCTGAGTGGAGATCTTTCATTTTATTTGATGTAGGCCACATCTCTTATACTTTACATTTGTGCATCATATCTGGAAGATTAAGCCTAGTATTGGGATGTCAAAGCAGCCAGTAATTTGCACTTACAGTTTCAATTAGACTCAACTGTGATCTTAGAAGTCTGATAAATCCTGTTACAACTGCACCATGAATTAAGCTAAGGAAGTCTTCAGTTTAATGCATACTGACTGTCCACAACACATGGATACAACTTTAGTCAATGGTTTGAACTCTGCAAGTCCATTTGGCTAAATATACCAAGCTTCAAAATGACTGCTCATCAAGATCTCAGGTACAGGTGTGACAACTGGATAATGCTTACATTAAAGTGTCATTGTTGCCAGAGAAGGCCCAGATGTCTAGCTGGCAAGGTAGTCCTCTGCAAGATCAAGCAGAAGCCTCTAGTCACCTACCTCAACCTCCTGCAGCGCTAGAATTTCAACTCCCACTTTAGCTCCTCTGTCTTTGAGCTCTTTATCAAAGAGATCCATGAGAATGACAGTCTTCAGACGTGGGGTCTTTTCTCGCTCACAGTTCTCAAGCAAGATCTGTGCCTTCTCAGGCTTGTCACAGATCACTGTGCTTATGTCAGCTACAGAAAAGAAATTACATTTCAGAAGTCTGTTTAGAAGACATGAGGCAAGTGAGTGACAGCTCAGTAGCACATACATTTAGAACATAGCATTGGTTTGTTCTAAAGTCATTTGCATTTGCTCATATGGATTCAGTGGCTGGCTTACAGTGCTAAGAAGGTTCCTCCTGCCATAGCCAATTGATTGGGCAAACTTGAGATTCTAGCTATACAAAGTGAGGGCAAACGCTGAGGAACTGAAGACAAATATCTTCAGTCAAGATAATAAGCATTTAAACTTTTGGTATTGCCATAAAAGCTTATAGTTGTCCTCACTGATTGTTTAGGTTTATCCATCTTCCTTAAATCTAAAAGAAATTTAGACCTGTTTGAAATTCTTGAGTTAATGCCTCAGCTTCCCTGCATGTGCAAGAGTTTTATGCAATTACAAAAGCATTTCCTATTAAGTCAGCAGAAGAATTGGATTTGCTGGTTCCCCGTTAGCCTAGTAAGTCACAGCTGTGTAGTCCCAATGCAAGATTCACCAGCGTAACTGTTGAAGTGATTTTGCTTGGCAAATCCTGTTTATGGGTTGGATCCCAGATCATTGTGGCAGCAGTGGATATTTTTTTCACCCTGTATCTCCCCTGAGACTGGGGGAAGAAAGTTTGAAGATTTATTCAAGCTTCCTCACCAGTTTCTTCCATGATGGCATGCTAGTTGTTGCTTCTGTAAGACAACAGGCCCTAACCAGATAGATTAAACAGATCTAGGCGTATATCTTTATCCCTCCCTTCTTCACTCTTTACATCCTACAACTTTAAGTCAGAGACACACATCTAGCGTCAATTTGCATGCAAGCCTGTCTGCATTGTCTGATTGTTTGGCAGTGTGGGAGTTCAAGATTGCAAAACCTCAAATGGCAAATAGTTGAGCACTCTGATTGCAGGATGGTCCACAGGATCTAGCAGGTCTTCAGTGGACTTGCACTCAAAACACTAGGAGACATAGGAAGCCCACTGGCTTATTCTAGGCATTGAACCATGTCCCCTGCAAAGCAGCTTCATTTACAGAAATTAAGCATCTATAAAAGTATAAGAGCAGTAAGGTTAAAGCTACTCTGATTTTTGCATCAAATTCCCTTGAACTTCAGCCTTCTCAAAACAAAGCTTCTTAGAGAAATCATTACAAAATAGTGGAAGTCAATATTTACCTTTGTTAACAATATATACAATGGCCTCTGGCCCCAGAGTGTCATAAAGTGGAACAGCAACCATTGAGTAAGTGTAGCAGGCATACTCTGAAATGATCCACTGAAGAGAGAAAACAGTACAGCTAAGGAAAACTAGCACCTCACAAGACAGGATTACCTACAGATTTCATACAGCTTGACTAGCCCATGCACACATTAGCAGTGGGGGTTGTGTAAGGAGCATGTCCATGAGATTCTCAGAGTAGTGAGCGTTCAAGATCATTGTATGACATGCTTGGCATGGTATGTGCTCAGTCAGTAATAAGAGAGCTGGGAAGGGAAAAGCCAGTTGTGATTGTTCCTCATGTGGCCTCAAGCTATTTAAATATAGACCCTCCTCTCTCCCCAAGGTGTCAGAATATTCTGGGAAAGAATATTCAATTTGTTGCTTACCTCTGGCCTATTCTGAGCAAAAATGCCAATAAACTGGTTTGATGATGGTTTGCATCCTTTTTGCAGAAGTCCTGATCCCAGGTATTGAGCTCTGTCCAAAACCTGTAAGATAGTTTTCCCCCACTTTAGTGTTACAAGACAGTATCCAAGATTAAATCATCTGTTATGTACAATACTCACCTGTTTATATGTCAGCCACTGATAAGGTTGGTTGGGTTTTCTATAGCCTAAACAGCTGCCATTTCCTAATGGAAGAGTTCAGAAAAGCAATTGTAAAGCTCAGTACTGAAGTTGCATAGCACTGCAATGCCACACTTTAAGTGGGAAATATTTTCAGTCAGACATCCAGCTAACTGCATGGAGCATGGAAATGCACAGCGTCCATAGTTAAGCACTCTGCCCAAACCAAGATTGTAAGACTATTGGCTTTATCCTTACAAGCAATACTTCCAAGATCTGGTGATGTTCTCCTGTTTCACAACCCATGTGAGATTGAAACAGCTTGCAAGCTATCACATATTTCCATGCATGGGACCCCTGAAGTCACAGGTGCACAAATTCATACCTGCTGTAAGCAGGCAGTAATTTTACACTAAAACCCACATCATAAGACAAAGCAGAGGTGTTTCCCACCAACTCCCTCTGATGCTTAGTATCTGCTGACTCTTAACTGAACTCTGCCATGTTAAGCTTCTGATGTTTGTTCCTGCCCAGACTGCCAACTAAGACTACTTCTAAATCCAGGGGCTGGGGGGGGGGGGGGGCGGGGGCGCCAAACAAGACGTCTTTTGAAGCCGGGGGGGGGGGGGGGGGGGGCGGGCACGGAATATGGTCGCTTGTCACTCCACCCCACAGAAGGCTGGAAAAGCTTTTGCTAGCTTGAATTACTACTACAGACAAGAAGCAAGGCAAAAGAGCTCAGAATAGTTTTATTTACTTGTGATTGATAGGCAAGTACTAACTAGCAGATGCAAAGCTTACCAGAAACACGCAGTCCTCTCTGGAAAACTTCATACAAGGTTTTACCATCATCAAAGTAGTAAGAAAGCAGGTTATTATCTGTCATGAGTGCACTTCTTCTGGCTCCTCCCTAGGAACAGAGCATAGTTATGAAACAGAACAGATGCAATGTCATTTATTCCTCAGCCATTCTCCCAGCAATCCCCTTTAAAGTATTTCAGTAGTATTGCATTATTAGGGAAGTCTCAATTTCTTTCCTTGTTTTGATCTACTCAGTCATCAGTCATATGCAGAGGAATTTTCTAGATGGCCTAGATTAATATTCAATTACAGGTTATTAGAGAGACCTTGACTAAAAATGAGTGCTACCACTTGCCTAGTTACATGAAGTATAGCACTAGCCTTCAAACTGATGCAAAGTGTTTAAAATACAGAAAAAAGTCAGTGACAGCCAAGGTAAACAGTCCAAGACAGTCTGGTAAAAAGCCTGCCTAAACCTGTTGGCAAGAGCTGCTGTTTCTTACTCTTGGTGTCTTAAGACTTCCTTTCTTCCCACCATACTGTTGAGCTGTATACCTGGGAGAGAAGGCTGTGTATATCAGGCAGGAGAGTTTCCACTGATAACCAGAGTCAGAATGGATCAATATTCATATTAAGCTCAAAAATAGTCCATGCCCACAAGCAGAGTAAGTATTACCTCAATTCCTATTGACTGCTTGTTCAAGTCAACAGGAGGCAAAACAGGTTTTGGCCTGCTTATCACCCACAGGAAGATGCCAGCTCCAAATACAATAAGACTAATCAATGCTGGTGTTGGGAGTGGTGAGAACAAGACTTGAAGTATCCAAATCATTGTGCTGGATCAGTGGAGCCAGAGTTGAACCTGAAACAAACAGGAGGTTTAGTAGACATGAGTTAGAAGCACTCACTACCTATAAGCCATGGTTACTTAAGTAGTCTGTTAAGCAATACTACAAATCATTTCAGCAGTTTGCCCCTAAAGAGTCCTGGTACAATAATGAAGCATGTTTATGCAATGCTTTAAGCCTCTTAAGAGATCCAAAGTCACCTGTCCCCATAAATCTTAATCCATGCTGCATCCTCCTCCACAAAAAGCTGAAGCCTGATGAAGTCAGACAAGGAACAGATGTTAATTCTTTCTATTCAAGAGTAAAAATCTGCCTGGGGAAAACATATGATTTCCCAAATTAAGTATTAACAAAAAATGCCTGTAGTTCAGTGATGTGAGTAGTGGAAGTAACAAAATGCCTCAACATTACAGCTGTCCAACAGGAGGGGGTATTGCTAAAATAGTAGGGGTATTGCTAAATTACATGTTTGTTACATCTACATATAGAGGTCTGCAGGACAAGCAGTATCTTCATGATCATCTGCTCTTACTGGAAAGCAGGGTTTATGCTGGACAGGTTTATGCAGACAGTGGAAGCGTGCTCAGCATGAGATATGGCACAAGTCAAAACTGTGAAAGTTACTTTCCCACAAGGAAGTGGTGACCTGGAAGTCAATGTGTGCAATGGAAGTCTAGCTGGGAAGTACAGAAACAGTTCTGTTGCTTGCATCGTCCAGAGTCTCTTCCTTCAAGGGCAGGGAAGCAAAAACTGAGAATGAGACATCTACCTCAGCCTCCTGCCTTAGAAACAAGTACTTTAATCTCTAAGATGTTCTGGTATGTTTAAGATTAAATGGCCAAGACAAATCTAGCACAGGTGACTGCTTTTTGTCTGAATCAACTCAGGTCTCGCCAACTTATCTTTGCTAGTATCTAAATAGCTATGCAGGACATGACACATCACACTTTGCAAGATGAATAACCACGCCCTTTCAAATTCCTTCATACAGAATCAAGGGAACCCGGTCAGTAGATAGTATGTCAGCTAGCAACTAACTAAATCCCTGTGCAAGAAGAATACCAGGCATTCTGGAGCAATGGGCTCCAGTGACCCTTTAACTATAATTCCAAGCAAGTTGAAGGTATTTTCCAAACAGTTAGTAAATTCAGCCGGGCCCCTAAGTCAGAATTTGGGTCTCTGGGCCCAGATTGACCAGAGTTAGATCACCCATATCTGGTTTATGGTTTTGTAGTTTTCAGTTTCCAGTGGCTGTGTTAATTAGCAATCCTAATGTGTTCTCTGGTGAGAGAAGGCGTACTTTGCCCACTCAGCATCTGGATAAAAAAGGGTACCTCAGAGGCTTGTCATCAAGTCCAAGCTGCCAAAAGCATGTCACCTACATATCTGAAAAGTACCAACTCCCTAGACCTCTTTCCTACTCTAAGCCTTAGTTACAACGTGCCCTTTAAACTCCTGACCTTGGTTTCATGTATTGAGACCATAAAAATTATGCTACAGCAAGAAAGGCAGGAACTGCCCTTGGCACTCTGCACTGGCTGACAGTTCCAGTCACTGGGCATATCAAACCTAGGAAGCACAAACCTGCTGTTTCTGCAGCACAGGATATCACCCATCTCCACACACTTTGGGCCTTTATCAACTGAGCCTGGAGAAAAAAAATATCCTAAACCCAGGTGTGCTAGATCAAGTTTACATTCAGGGCAAAGCCACTTAACAGTTTAGGTTCTAGCACTGCTCTATTTGGAAGACTGAAGATTAATAAAGTGAATTTGGCAATCAGCTGCTCTTCATGATTTATACATTTGGCCTTGTAACCCATTACTGGAGCAGTTAGTAAACAGCTGTCGGTGATTAAACAGTATCTGGTTTATGGTGTGAGTCAGCCACTTCCTCTTTTGTTAATATGAGCAAGTCACTTTTTTATAGCATGAGCACTGAGGCAGCTTGGTAGAGGCATCTCCACTCTCCAACATGAAGAGGAGTTGGATATACAAACTTTATTCCTTTAACTTAGAGCCCATTACTAGATCCAAGTGACAGAGCAAATCACATTTGCACCATTTGTACGTTGGAAGCTTAAGTTGTTGGAAGTTGGCAAAACTAGACCTTGACACATCTATTCTCACATCTTTTTAGAGGGATACCAGAGTACTCATGTTCAACTCCCCTGAATTTTGATTAATAGCAATCACCTTTGGCTATTTTCCAGTCTTTTTCCATGCCCAGATGGGCCAAAAGGAGTTTGTACTCAGTGCATTTCAGATTACTCTTCCCTGGACATGAAATTGTTCAATCAGCAGTAAGAGAATAGAGCTATATGCAGGCAACTGAAGAGACCACCTGCCTGTACAGCTGTACCAGTTTTAATGGCTGATGTGTGCTCTTATGTGCTCATTTTAATAGTAATTTTAAGACTATTTCCTAGAAACCAGGAAGGATTGGTTGCCTTTAGAGTATCATGCTAGAGGTAAACAGAACTGGGGATCGTGTCTATAGCACCAAGCCCTCTACTATAACTTATTAACACTGCTTAGCATTAACACTGCCTATTCAGACAGATCAGTGCAGTTGTCACAAATAGGTACTCTCTGTTACATGGACTTACTTGACAGAAAATTAACAGAGAACACTTGTCTGACCTTTTTGTGGTAAGGATCAGAGAACCCACTAACCCCAAATGCTCCATGCAGCAGTAGATAAGTCACTGAAAATCCTTCCGTCAGGCTATTCTCATCTCCTCATGGACTCACATGCAAGGCAGTTTGTGCCAAGACATCTAGGAAGACTGAACATCAGGCCCTGAAGGATAATGCTTGGAGCAGAGAACTCAAAGTCCAGAGAGAACACCTGATCAAGTTGAGAAAAGCCTGAAGATGATTAAATGCAGCAAAGCTTTTGCCTTTAGGTTCTGAATTGATTCCACAAGTCTCTTGCATAGAGAGAAAGAGAAATCAGGCAGTAGCCTAATCCCAGTGTAACCTAATCAGCATCCCTATAGCTAGTCAAGGATGATTTTTCAGTTATAAGCCAGATTTTTAATTTAAAGAAAGACCTGTTGACAAGTTTATCTCTAAAGCCTGGGAAGTATGGTATGCTCATTTGCTTCTAGGGTGGGGGTTTTTTTCAGTAACTGTCTTTGTTAGCCCACTTACAGCACTGAATGAGACTGTACATGTGAGAGTCAAAACCTAACATCCTTTAAAGCTACAGAAGTTAGTGTTGTGTCAAAAACAGCACAGATACCTAGATCTTGTTTGCAATATACAAAAAAATGCTTTTCATATCTGAAAGACTATTTTCAGTTCCCATACTTTATGAATAGAATAGTGAGTGTTTTGCTTTTACTTTCCAACCACGTTTCCTCAAATGGGTTTTAGTCACTCCTATCAAAGTACATAGGGTGTGTTATTCAAGCTGTGGCAAGAGACTGTCAGCAAATTTGTCTCAGTTCCCAGCATCAGGACAGTTGTTTCCTATGCATAGAGCTTCTATTGTAACTACTTGTCATATCCAAGTCACTAGTTAATCACCTCTGGTATCCTCCAAAAGCCATTTAACCCTGCTGCCCTCAAAGCAGAAGAGCCAGCAGAGAGGGTAGGAGTTTCTACTTGACAGAGTTTTCTGTCCATGGGAAAAGAACAGCTCTACCCTAGGTCTGGCCTAAGGAGCAACCACAACCAGAGCTTATCCCACAAATCCAAATGCCCTGTGCATACGTAATACCTGATCTAAATCAACTGAGTGAAAACTCGTCTCAGTGCAGCATGAGACAAAGCCAAGGCATTTTTGACAGATACCAGCTTCCACTGCAGGGCAAGTCTGAGCATCAGCTGCTTTCTTAAGCATGGGGGGGGCAGGGGTGGAATGCTTGAAACCTCTGAGTTTTGAAGGGCTCAGCTCCCAGTGACCAGAAAGACACAAAACGCACAGGATGTCTCAAACCACCTGTCAGTCCTCTTGTGCAGTAAGATGCTAGACAGTTAAAGTGTACTGAAGTTGTCTGCCCTGATCAATGGTCAGGGATAAGATGCACTAGGCTTCGGAGTGCAAAGGCTTAGTTTTTATCAGAAGAGATTACGGTGATACCATTTACAGCCTTGAGTTCAGGAGTACATGTTCTCATTTGTACTGTACCTGCCCCCCCACCCCCACCAACCTCTACAGCAATTCCTTCACTAGCTAGAAGAAATGAAACAGTTACTCTCTATTCCCTCCAAGTCAGGAGATTCTCTCCACTGGAAAGTGACTGAGCTTTGTGCCTCCAAGCACACAAGTATAAAGAAAGAAATCAGTGTTATCTCCATCACAGTAGTTCTTTACAGACAGCAAAGCAACCTCTGATACTTGCACAATTTCAGAAGCAACGGCCATGCACTGCCTGGAAGAATGTTTTCTAGAATTATATTCTTTATCTCAAGTTCGCCTAAGAAACAGTTTGCATATGCTTTTGAGGTGATCACAAGAACTTGTTGATGAGCATTAGTAAGGTAAGAGTGACTCTTTCCAAGCAGGAATAGTAGAGTACAACCAACTACACTGGGGTCACTAATTAGCTAGTTAACCAACAGTAGCTCACTCTTTACATTTGCTTACACAGTGCAGCTCTTGCCTGGTGTCCTGCAGATGTGAGCCACTGTGCCAGTTCTTACTCCTTGGAAGCATTATATCCCATCTTCCTCCAGCTGCAGCAAGGAGAAGTCTTGTGTTCTGCAGGGTTTAGGAACATTTAACTTTTAGCATCCAGAGAGAAGCTAGAGTGCAAAAGCTCAGCAGTGACTGCTGAACAGAGCCACGTAAAAACCACAAAGCAAAATCCACAGTAACTTGCATTAATCCTAAGATACACTTTAGTTAGGCTTTGCTTTCAGAGTACCTCTTATAAAAGTCAGAGCCAAACAGTTCAAGTACCCTTTGATCTTGGCTGAGAAGCACTCTGCTAGGGGGTGGGAAAGAATGAGGCCTCAGTAACTTACTTTCAGGA